CTCCCCTCCCCTCCTCTCCGCTGAACTTCTGCCCTGACCCACTCTTCTGTTTTACTACATAACCCAATCATTGCATTATGAGCTGTCACATCATCGCCTCCAAGATACTTCAAGATACTTCCCTGGGTCAGTGCCACCCACTGGTCACTCAGCCGCTTAGGCAATGTCTGTCTGCCCAGCCCTTACACATTTCATGATCCTCTCAGTTGATTGGAAGGAGACAAGCAAAACCTGTCACCCTGTAGCCCTAGACTGAGCTCTGGGCTGTTTCATCCATCAATTCATTTGCTGGTTTGGGTTTGCTTTTGTGGTACTAGACTTGAACCCAGGGCCTTTTATGTGCTAGGCAAGTGCTCTGCCACTGAGCTACATCCCCAGCCCTATTTTTTTTAATTTTATTTTTACTACATGTATTTATTGTCTGGGGGTGGGGGAGACACATGGGGAGGTCAGAGGACAGCTTTTCAGGAGTTGGTTCTTTTCCTTCTATCCTGTGGGTCCCAGGGATGGAACTCAGGCTGCTGGGTTTGGTGACAAGCCCCATTACCACTGAACCATCTCTGGTCTTTTGCTTTTTACTTTGAGACAGGGTCTCACAAAGTTGCCCAGGTTGACCTTGAACCTTGCTATGGCTGGGCCTTGTGAATTCTGCACAAGATAAGCCTCAGACCTTGACTAAGCCCGGCCTTCATTCCCCTCCCACCCCAGCTTCAGAATTCCTGCTCATCAGGTCCACAGACTTACCACTTCAGTTCTCTCCCTTGTCTGTGTCACTGTCGTGACACTGGGAACGTCACGGGCTTCCTCCAAACTCTCTAGACAGCGGTGCAGCTCCCGTCCATGTCTGCGTCCTGTAAACCTGAAAAATGCGGGTCGACTTTGGCTGCCTCAGGTCTAGTTTCACTCAGTCCTTCGACACAAAAGCACTGTCAATCACTCGAGAAAGCGGGGTCTCCGGCAGCCACACCGCTACCGGCAGCCGTCCAAAGGTCTGGTATTGGCTCAGCGGCTGCCGTGCCAGTGTGTGGAGGCTGTTGGTCAGTGTTGGTCTCCCACTGGAGCCCAAAACACAGTGTGCGGGCTCCCTGGGCTAGGACCGTGTCTCCTGCTCTCTGCGAGGCCCTCATTATTCTTCTCCTTCTCCTCCTCCTCCTCCTCCTCCTTCTTCTTTCAAGACACTGTTTCTCTGTGTAGCTTTGCGCCTTTCCTGGAACTCGCTTTGGAGACCAGGCTGACCTCAAACTCAGAGATCCGCCTGCCTCTGCCTCCCGAGTGCTGGGATTAAAGGTGTGGGCCACCACGGCCAGGCAACGCCTTCATTCTTAAGCTTAGTGCTCATTCATACTGAGAAAGCATTAAACAAAATGTAGGCCAGGGGTCTGTTTGTTAATATGTCTCTTGCAGCTCTGATTCCAAGAGCTATTCATCGTCCTGCCTCAGCCTCCAAAGTAGCTGGGAATGCAGGCCTTTGTCACTCAGCCCAGTGGGATACTTTAGTTCTGTTTTCCAAGTGAGAAACCAGAGGCTCTGGTTAATCATTAACTGTGACATGAAGCAATAAACCAATAAAACACACACACACACACACACACACACACACACACACACACACACACACACACACACCCTCTCAGCAAGATGTATGTATGGTGAGGCTCATTTTCCGGCTGATCCTGTAGTCCCTGGGATCAGGATTTGTACTTAAGAGGTTTGGGGAACTAGCATTTTATTTGGGCTCTGGCTGGGCCCTGCAACTTCCACCCAGGAAGAGCCTTTCTTAAGCCCAGGGCACGCCTACTGCAGGAAAGCATAAAACAGACCAGGAGAGTTGTTTTAGTTTGCTTTTAAATGCTGTGCTAAACACCATGACCAAAGGCAGCTTGGGGAGGAGAGGGTTTATTTCACCTGAGAGGTTATAGTCCAGTAAGAAGGGAAGTCATGGCAGGGACTCAAGGCAAGAACCTGAGGCAGGAGAGACCATGAGGGAACTCTGCTCCCTGGCTTCCTCGGCCTGGTTTGCTCAGCTTGCTTTTATTTATGCAACCCAGGACCGCTTGCCCAAGGGGTGGCACTACCCACAGTGGGATGGACCCCCACACACACACATCAACTGTCAATCAAGAAAATGCCTGACAGACTTGCCCATAGGCCAATCTAGTGGAGGCATTTTCTCCGTTGTATTTCCCTCTTCCCAGGTTACCCTAGTTTGTATCAAGTCCACAAAAATTTAACTAGCCCAACAGGATTGGGTCTGTTTGCTCAAACTATGTCCCTTGCAGTTCTAATTCCAAGAAAGGTCATTCCATAAGTGACAAAAGATCCACAGTCAAGTATGTGTGAGGAGGGAGGGAAGGAGAGAGAGACAGACAGACAGGGGGAGAGAGAGACAGAGACAGAGACAGAGACAGAGAGAACAAGCCCGAGGAAAACCTTCCACGTTTTTTTTTCTTCAGAAGCTGTCTACCTTGCTTGTTTGTTTGTTTTTGTGACAGGGTCTCTCACTGGCCTGGAGCAGCCCCGGGATCCTCCTGGCTTCACCTGTCCTAAGACTGCTTTCTATTGCTGTAATAAAACACTGACCAAAAGCACCTCCGGGAAGGAAACAGTTTCTTCAACAGTTTCTTCCGCTTGTTATTCTGCATCTGTCTGTTGCTGAGGGCAGTCAGGACAGGGACTTACGGCAGGAACGTGGAGGCAGGAACTGAAGCAGAGAGCATGGAGGGTACTGCTTCCTGGCTTGTTCCTCGGCTCACACTCAGACTGCTTTCTTCTACAAGCCTGATTCACCTGCCTAGGGGTGATGCCACCCACAGTGGGCTGGGCTCTTCCACATCCATCACCAACTGTCTTAATAACGCCCCACAGACATGCCCACAGGCCAGTCTAATGGGGGCAGTTCCTTAGTTGAGGTTCCCTATTCCCAGTTGTGTCAAGTTGGCAACTAAGATTACCTCCCCAAGTCTTACCTCGACCCCAGCACTGGGATTACAAACCTGTGCCACGGTGCCCGGCTTTTCCACACGGGTTCTGGAGATTGAACTTAGTCCCTCAGGCTTGCAGGTCAAGCAGTTTTTAAGCTCTGCGATGTTTTATTCAGAAGAAGGAGAAGATTTTGAACACAAGAATTATCAGAATTATTTAATACTCCCATTTCCCATGAATTCTGGGAGGAATAAGTCTCTGTTGCATGCCAAACATACATGTTCAAAGACATCATTTTCTGAGGATCTCAAATTCCTCAAATGTACCTTGGACGATGTCACATGACACAGTGTCCAGGTGCCTGTCCCACTTATACATTCTGTAATTCCGTTGTGAGTGTGTGGGAGGAGCAGGCACCTGTGGGAATACCTGGCTGTAGGCATCTGTTATTGGCAGCTGGGGACAAGTGTGTCTGAGCCTCCTACTGGGGCCTTCCCGGCCTTGGATAGTCCCCATTTCTCACCATCTACACCCAGGAGAAGGTCTGCCTTTTCCCAGAAGGCAGATGGCTGCAGGTGGCCCGCTCTCTGAAAGCTCCCTTCTCGGCCTTCCTCATGCGCTCATCCCTTCCCAGCCAGATGCTCAGAGGGAGAGGGATATCCAAAAGCTGCAGGGATCAGAGAGTTGCCAGGCGGAGAGAATCGGAGCCTCTGATGGGACCATGACCGGCCTAGGACGTCATCTGGCCTCCATGAAAGCCACCGAGCCCAGGGGCTCACTTGTCCCTGCAGCTAGCCACCACTGGACACGGAAGGCAGATTCAAACTCATCCCCTGTGTCAGCGTCAGATACACTGCGCAGACTCTGTGTCCTTCCCTCTTCTGACTCAGGCCACAAGGCAAGCCAGGCTGCTGCGGAAGTCGCAGGTGTCTTGTATTTCCTGATGTCAGGGAGCAGGGCTTAGGAAAGACATGGAGTGTGTAAAAAGACATGGAGTGTGTAAAAAGACATGGAGTGTGTAACGAGGTCCCCGTGGCAGAACAGCTTTTAATCGTGATGCCTGCTGCTCACAGAGACACTCCTTCACTTTTCTTCCTTGGTGGAACCAGGCAAAAGAAAGGCTGCTGTTTAAGCCTGCTGTCAGGAGCCAGTGTGGGCTTCCCCCGGGGAAGAGTCTCTCTGGATGGCTGTAAGAGCCTGGCACAGCCCTCCTTCCTGGAGGAAGGGTGCTTGCCCATAGCTCTGGCCGTCCAGGTGTACAGGCCGTGAGCCAAGCAGGACTGACTCTCTATAAGCTGCCTGGTGCCAGCCGACTCCATACCCAGCCACAGAGCTTGCCATGTTCCTGGCAGCCTGAGCTTCAGGAACTTGGCATCTGGGCTGCCCATGGGAGAGGAGGCAGGCCAGGCTGGGCTGGATTTGGCTCCATCTGTCTCCAGCGTCTGTCTGGCCTTTTGACTGTGAGGTGGGATGGGATGGGAGCCTATGCAGGTCCCTGGCTCTCTCAGGACCTGCTCAACAGGATGATTGCATACTCTCTGGTGAGCAGGGTGACAGTGGGGGGGTGGGGGGGTGGCTTCCGCAGGAAACCATGGAGAGGGAAGACCTACAGTGGCCAACAGCCAGAGACCAGGACACACCACACCACCCAGGCTTGGCAGGCAGGTCTAATTTCCACTCCCAGTCTTCATGGCTTCCTCCCTCAGCATGGCTGCTCCAGGCAGAGATGGATGTCCCGATAAACTCCACATGAAAACTCATAATCCCAACAGTCTCTGCCATTTCTGTCCATTCTCTTAAAGGTTAATCTGCTTTTCTCCTTATTAATGACGGGCCACAGCAATCCAGTCGGGTCTCTCCGTGTTTGGGTAGATTTAGGCTAATAGGCTATTTTATTTCCATGGTAACAGCTTCCAGTGTTACAGGAAGATAATTTTCCAGACAAAAGATTTGCGGGTCTTATTATTCAGCATGGCTCTGACGGGGAAGGCAGGGAGGTTGGGCCAAGGGGCTGCCCAGGAAGCCACAGTCTCACACACTTGGGCACCTGTTTGCCTCCAGCTTCGGAGTCTCCCGGGCTTGTTAGGGAAGTATTGTCAGAAATTGGCAGAAGCTGAATGAAGATATTCTTCAGAAGACAATGCCATAAATGTGTTTCCTTATCAACTCATGGGGCCAGAGTGACAAGTGGCATGTGTTAGAGTGACTGCCACCACAGCAGGAGCCTCTCTGCCCTCTGCAATGAGCTAAGGGATGACCTTAAAATAGTTCTACTCCCCAGGAGTGGGAAAGGCAGGCTTGTGGTGTATGTATACGGCAATCCGGAGTTCAAGACCTGCTTCCACAGCCACTGGGAACCAGACTAGTCACAGGATGGCCCCCGCTCTCAGAGGGCTTAGAGTCTATTAGTGTGCTGGGGATGGGTAGATTTCAACAGAGAAAAGGGAGCTGGGGAGAGGGTCCATTGGTGAAGCGCTTGCTGTCCAAACACAAGGGCTTGAGTTCTGATCCCAGAGCCCATATAAAAGAGCTGGACCTGGTGGCGTGTGCTTGGAATCCCAGCAACGGAGAGGCAAAGTCAAGGGGATCCTTGGGGCTCATTTGGGGCTAGCCAGTCTAACCAAATCAGCGAGTTCTAGGCAAGTGAGAGACCCTGGAGAGAAAGGGAGGAAGAGAGGGAGAATGAATGAAATGATCAAAATAAGAGATGTGGAAACATGTAGACACATGATTTCCAGTGCTTTCCTGCTAGCCAATCTACCCAAAACAGTAAGCTTCAGAGTCAGTAAAGGGCTGTCTCGAAAAGAAATCAGGTCACCCTCTGGTCTACACACACACACACACACACACACACACACACACACACACACACCACACACACTAAAACAATGGTTCTCAACCCTCCTAACTCTGTAACCTTTTAATACAGTTCCTCATATTGTGGTGACCCCTCACCCATAAAATTATTTTCATTGCTACTTCATAACTGTAATTTTGCTGCTGTTATGAATCATAATTTAAATATCTGATATACAGGATATCTGATATGCAATCCCCAAAAGGGTCCCAACCCACAGGTTGAGAACTGCTCAAATAGAGGACTGAAACCAGGCAGTGACAATACTTTATGATTTGTATCATGATAAAGATGGCCAAAATTCTAGGGGCATGGTCAGTGGTTTGAGTGAGATGTCCCTGTGGTGGTCTGAATGTAATTGGCCCCTATGAGCTCATAGGGAGTGGCACTATTGGGAGAGGTGGCC